GTTCGGAGACCCCGGCCACCCATATAAACCATACGTCTCCGATCCCAGAGTCCCCGGCAGGAAGTGGTTAAGGAAAATTTGCTTGAAGGAATAATGGCCAATGGCAAATTTGAAAGACCAATAAACAAGTGGTGTGGTCTACATTGGATATCTTCAGGATACATGTATATGTGTGTGCATGCACCGGTGGCCAATACAGACTGACCACTGAATGCGGGAATCCAACACGTCTTTCTTTTGATGGGACATTTTACTGTTGTGGCTCCAGTGCACAGAATGGCTCCTGGCCCATCCATTACTGTCCAATAGCAGCAGAAACCACGGTAAAAAATAATAAAAGTCAAATGTAATCTTTGTAACTATAGGAAATTTTATGGAAACTTAAATTTGTTTCGTAATTTGAACTCTTGTGAGATCTACCTGAAAGGTGAAATATAACCAACACATGCTCATATTGGCCAGAATGGAAGACCAAATGGGCCAAGGAACAGGCACACAGGTGACTAAAAATCACCAAACCGAAGGACTACTACAGTGTATATGTATATCGATCATTTTGTGTGGACCCCATAGCAATATTGGAGTACTCCTACTTATACACAACTGAGTATACCTGAGTACTCAACCCCAAATTTATGATAATGATTATCAGTACTAGAGAAATAAATGTACTTGGCCCGTACTCAATTCTAGGTACTTGGATTTTGGGTGTACTCAACCCCTTAGGTACTTGACCCCAGTACTTGAAAAAAGAAAAAAACAGTACATCATTTTTTATCAATAGCATTTTCTGGTGTTGGGTTGAAAAGTGAAAATTGCATTGCTCAACCTTCACCACAATGCAATTTGACAGTACGTTCACTCTGTAGTCTGTAACATGTACAGAATGCTTACCATGCCCTTGGTACATGTACAAGGGACCTTTCTGCTAGTCTCATGTCTGGCTCCACAGTTTTTACTATAAGAAATCGTAGTGTGATGAACCGAGTTTGCACTTCATGAGCATCACATTGTTTTCCATGGTGCACGCACATGGACTGACACTGACAGATATTTTGTTGCGCTTTCTCCTAGCTTCTTCATAGTGGAATATTTCAGCAATTTCCGATATGTGATTTACTTTTAACTTTCAACACTTTATTTTTTCTGTTCAATTCTTTGGCACTAGGTTCTATGTTTTCCATCATTCTCCAACCTGTAGGTCTCAGTCTTGGAAACAAATGGTTGTCTCAGTCCTGGTGTCTACTCAGTTATCCATTTTTTCTATTGCTTGTTGTAAGAAATGCTCGGTCAACACAAGCTGCTAGAGAATTCGTTGATTTGTTAATATGTAAACAATTCTGCACAAACACACACTACAAGTGTTACTACTTGAGAGATTGCTGCATGGTATGTTTGTTTTAAATAATATACATGTACCGGTAGATGTGTTCACACATTTCATTTATTTATTTATTTCTATTCTTGGTATTGTGCACATGTATTTACATGCATGTAAATGTGCTTGGACGCAGACTTGGGTACTTGGACTCGACCCAGTCCTTGGCCTCGAATGTACTTGGTGCTTTGGACGTGGAATGGATTCATCAATGTAATGGTACTCGGCCCGGGATGCGGCTCCTAAAGTACTCTATACTCAGATTCGAGGACTCAACTCCAACACTGCCCAACAACAGCCTGACGTCATTTGAACCAGAAAGTGTAGTGCAAACAAATGGAATACGCATGTGTTGGTTCACACATACATATATAATTGGGTGTGTGACGTATTCACATCAGTAAGACTATAGTTCTGTATGACATTATAAGGAGAGTCCATCACAGTCTTTCACCAAGTCCCTGCAATTCATAACAAGTGATTCAGTCATGAGCCAAGTCAAGTGGGATTCAAGTGAACTTTGATGAAAGCATTGCTTTGTCCTTACTCACCCTGTTACTTATATGTACGAGTGGTCTAGGTCATTTGATTGGACTAGAAAAGTTGTGATTGGCTTGACTACAACACTGATGGTTAAGCACTTTATTATTAAGGGAAATTTTTGTTGCTGTGGAAAGTCACTTAATAACTGCATATCAAACAGGTTTCCACCTTGTGTGTGAACATATAATATTGCATGGGTACTGTTTTCTATCAACACCTTCGCTTACAAGTACTGCAGTGGAATGTCACTATAATGGACGAAGCTATATTGAACATTCAGCTACACTGAACATCCCCCTTAGGCATTTTGAGATGTGACAAAGAGGTCGATGTGGGGTCTGTCTATAGCCTCAAGGACTGAATGTACTACTGATTGTTGTGGTTTATGAAGAACCCAAGACTCTGTGGAGAGGTTGTAGACAAGGCAGGTGGAAGTCATAACCTCGGTTGCAGACCTGCAGATGATGAGCCAGTCGTCCAGATATTGAAAGATCAGGATGTCTCAGTGATGAAGGTAAGCCGTGATAGACCAGACGGCGTGCGTGAAAACCATGGGGGACATTGAAAGGCCGAAGGGTAGCATCACAAATTTGAAAGTTTGGCTGTCGAACATAAAGTGGAGGAACTTCTGGTCCTTGGGGTGAATCAGAATGTGCAGGTACTCATCCTTCAGATCCACTGTCGAGGCCAAGGCTGGGATCAGCAGAGACTAGATGACTGTACGCAAAGTTTCCATGCAAAAGTGCCGAGGGCAAATGAATCTGTTTAGTGCTTTGAAGTTGAGGATTGGGCACCAGATGTTCAGCTCCTTCTTTGGGGTGAGGGAGAATGTTGAAACGAACCCGTCGTGGGATGGGTGAGAGACTGGGTTGATGGCTCGTTTCTGAGGAAGTCACAGTTGGCCCCTGACAGGCCCAGGTTTGGGGCAGATAGCAAATCGATGGAGTTATTAGCGACCGTCCCCTAAATGAATGGGGTATGTGCCCGGAACTTGCACTGGATTTGTGAGACCTGCTGGGAGGCTGTGGTCTGTTGAAGGAGGAGCTGTAGTGTACGGTCAGGGGACAAAAGAGCTTGAGGTAGAGCAGGAACCCCAGCGGCAAGGCGGAGCAGCCCTAGGCGCAGGGGGCAGAGAAGAATCCGGGAATAAAATCTTGTGGGATGCCTTGATCAACTTGCCTCTGATTGTAGGGTCTTGGTGAACTGACGCGCAAAGAGGTCTTTGCCATAGAGGGGAAGACCCCTGGGTATAGGATGTGCATAACTACCATGGTATTGGGCATTGTTTCAAAATTCCCATCAGTTGGCTTTAGGACAAGGCTATCCGACTGATAAAAAATGGACCGATAGCCACCCTATCACTTTTCCCTGTGGCCATCGGTTGGCTTACAGGATGGAATGTAGGGGGGGCGGGATTGCTTTGGGGCCTGGGGACCTGGAGGACAAGTGGCTAGTTGGGCATTGACAGATGACAGCAGATGGTAACCATTAGCCTGGTTTGGGGTTATACCGAGTTAAAGAGGTTACTTTTACTTTACAATTAGTTGCTCATCTCATGTATACTGTTGGTGTTTTATTCGGCTCTGAGCTTGACTTTCTTTCACATGTCACATCAGCTATTTCTCTGCATAATGTTCATGCCAAAACCATGTACTTATGCTTTTAAAATAAAATTGATCATAGAAGGGGTAAATAACTATTTACTCCTGATTTGTTTTAATCTTTTGGAGGGGGCTTACTGGTAAGGCCTGACCATTCTTCCTGGGGGAAATCCGCTGGAGTCCATGAACTTGTTTAAACAAAAGAGCACTTGGCAATGATGACCATACGTGGCAAGTATGTTAAAATGCAAACATGAATATTCCATTCACTCCATGTTCAGAACGCCCTACCCAAATTTAGGTCAGGTCATTTAAATATCAATGTCAACTGGAAAGTCCACAATTGGAACAGCTGATTCCATGACCTGTGTGTACCGGAGAGTCCAGCCAATCCGCAATTGGAATGACATGTTCATTATAATCGTCGGCTATTATGCTAATCTGAGTTTGGAACTCCTGACATAAATGATTGGAGCAGGTTCAGTGATGATAGTAGGCCAGTGCAACTAGTTGAATGTACATATACATGTACATACCACGCAGAGCATGCAGTGCCGCACCACACGTGCACAAGATACACTCACGATCGCCTGTTCTGAGCAGCAACACGTTGGGAATGCACCATGCC